CATACCCTCCAACTTATGAAGATTTTGAAAATAATTCTTTCTAGTGGTAGCGAACCAAAGTAGAAATTTTTAAAGCAAATGGATCTCTCATAAAACTTTTATCAGAACTTAAGAATCTAGCCATATGGCCTGCACTTTTATAAGTAATAGTGGACAAGTTACGCTAAAATTAATTTTTTTTAAATATTAAGACATTAATTTTGCTACCGTCTGAAAAGAAGATTTCTGAAACTACGGAAATTCCGTAGCAGTTGGAGGGTATGGGTAGGGTATACCGGGCAAATGTATACCGGACAGTTGCACTTGACCTTAGAAAAACATTAGTGTTGGATATACCGAACAAAAATTTATACCGGGCAGTGGCACTTAAGTAGACCTAGTATATATTTCGGACATTTACCAAAGGTCTAGTCATAATAGGTCTAGTTAAGTGCCATTGCCCGGTATACATTTGCCCGGTATATCCAACACTAATGTTTTTTTAAGGTTAAGTGCCACTGCCCGGTATACATTTGCCGGTGCCATTCTCCGGTGCTATTATTCATCAAAACAATTTGGTTTTTCTATGTTGGACCATCGTAAATCAGTTCGAATTCCTAAACTGCAGTGATGGTGGTTCATAATTGTTCCAATATTTGATTTCGAAAAAATTATGATGGAAATTTCTAATGGTTCAACATGAACAAACCATCAAAACAGGTTGCTTTTCAGTCCTAAATCTCACATTGGGATTATGTTTAATTATGTTGATTACCATTCAAAAATATAATTGTTTATGATGGAATTGATGGTTAAAATCAAGATTATGTTGGCCCATCAATGGAAACTCATCAGAAATTTTGACTTGTGTATATCAATATATACATTGTCAATAAGTCTCTGAAATTAGGTTTTATGTTAGGCAGTTGAATTCGCAAGTCTGCAGCTGCTTCGTTTTTTGCTGTATAAGTTAAGTGTAGTAGTTTCTGCCGTATAAGTTGAAACTAAATAAAACAAGCTGAATTTTTTTTTTTTTTTTTGTTAGAAAAAATAACTTTGAGAATTTTTATCTGAGAAAAACAATTCTTATTTTTGTAATCGTTCATTTTATTTCGAATTTCAAAGTTAAATGAGGACTCCTGGTGCTATCATTTGTAAATGCATATCTTTTTAGTAATTTATTCTGAATATTGTAATTAAAAAATTATGTTTTTAAAATTTGCTATTTTTTTTATTGCATATTTACTTAAAAAATTTCATAAAAATAATTTTAATATTAAATATATAACTGATTACTGGTTGGATACAAACATATTACAGGTTTAAAAAATCTTACTGGTTAAAAAAAAAAAAAGGTCCTAAACCTTGGAACTCTAGGGAACCGCGGAACATCGTTTGGAAACCATTACTTTAGATTCCATAGCACAAATCCTCTTTTTGTGTAACCTCTAGTTGTTATGGTTGTGGGCCATAGTTATTTATAAACAATTTAGGACAAAGGAGAATATATAAGTATACGACATACATAAGTATATCACAATTTACGACACCCACAGAGATGCCAACTTGCTCCGGACAGCAAATATATATTTTGAAGTGGTTGTTTATCAATTGTGATTCTTGGTTTAATAAATTCAATTCAGTAGATTTTTATCCACCACTATTTCTAAACAATTCATTGGGTTATATAATTCGTCACTTTATAGGTGTTATGTCATGCTATACGTTATAAAAAGCAAGCAAAAATAGTCAAATATTTGCAAAATTCACTTCGTAGTTATTTACCGTTTTATTAATTATTTTGGCGTGTCCGGAGCATTTGGCATCTCTGCACCCAGGAAAGGTAATCCATTATCCATGCTCGTCGCTCTACAGCAAATAGATGACTTCAGTTTTCGCACTGTCGGCTTCACGCAAATTTCACATGAGTATTAGGTTATTTTCATTATAGTATTAGGTTATGAGTATAAATATTAGGTTATTTTTAAGCTACAACCAGGATATGTCATATTAGGCGCATTTCTGTTTATCGCATATTTTAATTTGTCTTTAGGAAAATTTTAAACTTCACTTCATATTTTTTAAAATTGAAATAATTAAAATACCACGGCCCGGGTGCCGCATCCGGCCCGCGGAGCCTTTTTTTGTGGCCCGCGAACTAAACTATATAAGTTGTCATTTTTTTGCGGACAATTTTCGTAAAGAATCAATATGGGTTTAAAATACTTTTCGCGTTAATAAAAACCTAATTTCTTCGTATCCATGAAATTTAGCATACCAACGGTGCAAAAAAATTTATTTCTCAGGTTTTGCACCCAGGAAAATATTTATTCAAAAGCAAAAATAATCGTGTATGTAGGTCTATTTTATTTCATTTTTTTTGTATTTTGTGAATATATTTCAGCATGTGCGTATCAGAAATTTTCATCATGTATCAGAAATTTTCTCGAAGAAAAATGTAACTTTTTGAAACCACTCACTCATGTTGGACGAAAATACTTACACGCACATTTGTAAATTTTAAATGTAAATATCTATTCTCTGGTTGTTGGTATCAGATGATAAATCTCAATTTTCTCATTGAATATTTTGTGTGCTACTATGTAAGTTTTAATACCAATCTTTTTAAAGTTTTATATCTTTACAATTAGATATCTGTTGCACATTATTTGTTAGGTGCACATTAAAGTTATTGTAGCAGAATTTTTATTATCTATTTAATATTTTTAAAAATATTTCTAATAACAATTAAATATTTTTAAAAATCTACCTCTTATTTTAATTTGTAATTTAATACTTTTGTTTTGTACCACTTATTAAAAATCTGACAGTAATATTTAATGTTCGTTCAAACATAAAAAAGTCCTTGATAAAATTTTGATAAAGTTGTGACCCGTCATTTGATTTGTGTTTTTAATTGTGATCCGCTGCCTCGTGTAAGTTGGAAACCCCTGTTCTAAACAATTTAAATATCTGACTTTTATGAAATTCAATTTTTCAGGAACAATTCAATCGATTTTGTATTTTGTCAAATTCTTTAAAATTATACAAAAAATTGTGTAACTTACAATTTAAAAATTTTTTCGACCATTATTATATAAAACTAGAGGGCTGCGACCCCTGCTCGCTAACGCTCGCCAACCCCCGAAAATTGCTACGCAATCTTATATCGTTTGCTTCACAAACCAAGCTCGCTACTAACTTAGGTACATTGCAAATGCACAAAATTCTAAGAATTCAAAACAATCATTCAAATCCATATAAAAACTTTTCTTTTAAAAAAAAATATTACATCTTTTTAGTAAATACTAAGTCATTGAAATAAATTTGAATTCAAATAAATGACATGTAATTCGTTAAACCTATTAGAAATGTGCTATAGTATAATTCGTGATATAAATCAAAAATCGTCAAATAAATTCGTAATATATAAATTCGTGAAAAAAAGCACTTTCGACAAAATACTAAAATAGAAATCTATCAGCAAAGACTACTCACTTCTGCCTAAATATATTACGAATAAAAAATATATAAAAAATAATGTATATCTAATAAAGGTTATTTTTCACATGGAATTATCTTTAGATTAACGAATTTTATAATTATATAAAAAAAAATTCGATTCGCTTAAGAAGTTCTTGAGATATAGCAAGATATGCAAAAGTAATGTAAAATTAAAGGGTTCAATCTTTAGACCGTCCTTCTGATCAAACTATTGCGGCCATATTTCTCAGATTGTGGCTAATCCATGAATTTCGGGGGTCAGGAATCCAAATCCTTTGGGGAAAAAAATTATGTTTATTCAAAAAAAAGTACATTTTTGTATCTGATTTCGTAATTTAATATATTGTGTGCACTAATGAATTAGCATATTTGAGGTCACTCCCTAGAATCATTAAGATTAGGTTCTAGAATGTGAAGATCCGATCATTAGATCAAGCTATTCAGGGTAGTTTGTTTTTTTGGTGCAATGTACAAAACAATCATTACTACTAATTCTAAACTTATTGTATGTAACATGAGAACACATAAGAATTATGATCAACGAAGAAAAACAGAAATAAAAAGTTTATTTAATTTTTAAAATGCAATAAAACTTGTATACAATAAATATCTTCTTCGAAAAAACAAAAGTAAACAGGAAGCTCAGCTTGTATTTTGAGATCAGGAATGATGTGCTCACTTCAATCTGAAATTAAAAGCTATTTACCATTTTTATATTAATTTGATAGCATAATAAATACCCACAATAATTATATTGCCGCAATATAATTTTTTAATGTTATTTTAAGACTTTTCTCATTACTGTTTTATAATTAAAGATATTCATATTAAGCTAAAATAATAATAAATATCTTAACTTAATTTAAATAAATATATTTTAATAAAAGGAGAAATTTGAAGGACATACGACCTAAGCTCATTAGTATGACCCCATTTCAGCAACCCTTTTATTATAATGGTTGATATTATATAGCTGTTTGTAGTTCTATGGTCACAATGTTAATTTAACCACCATTAGAACCTCCCCATAGCGCAGTTAATTCCAAACCAGTAAACGAAATTTGGCTATTTGATTAGCAAAGATTTCAAAAAAATTATGCAAAACTACTATCTCTTAAGATGTTATCCCCATAATAACCCTCATATGTAGAATTTTTATTTAAGATATTTTTCATACTTTTTTCATTATTTTGTATTAAGTCAAAATAAGTGAGAAATAAGCGAAAAATTAAGTGAGAATTTAACGTTTTAATCCTTTATTGTTATGTAATACAGCATGAAACAGTGGTGTCTTTTTTGCGTTAAAGGTAAAATCTTCTAAACAAAACTGACATCCAAACAATAATTTTTCAAATTTGCAGTTATTTAGATCTAAGAGAAACAGTTATTCATCATTGAAATTCCTTTAATTTACAACACTAATTATTTATAAATGTTTGAATGTGGATGGCAAAATAATTCCAACTACTTTTTTTTTTGGATGATTCTGATAATCTAACAGATTTTTTCAGTAACTATTATAATATGTTTTACAACAAAAAAACATGAAAATATATTTTTACTTGTAATTAGAACATCAGAAGAAAAAAATACATAAAAAGGACAGAAGTGCCACATCTGCATTAAAGGGTAAAATGTGGAATTTTTCAGAATGAAGAAAAATGTGAGTAAAGAACAAAAAGTTTTTGAAAATACTGATTGACTCAAATCATAGAAGGAAAAAAAAACAGAAAAAAAAGCATGTGCAACTATATAGCACAAAAAGAAAAAAAAGGAAATTATTTACTATATGAGTTATATTTTTTTTAACTATATGTATTCATTGACAATCCAACTAGCCATTAAGCTTTTTTCATAAATCATGATTAAAAAGAATACAGTAAAACAACAAAATAATGTAGAAATATCAAGAAAAAAGGAAAGTCAGAAATTCTGCCTAAAGTCAGAAGAATCACATGCCTGAGGAAGGGGGCCATAACCCCCTAGGTTCTTTACCAAGGTAGTATTGGTCTATGATCAAGTACTCAATTTTTTGTAAAATTTTAATTCTCTTGATTGGTTTATTTAAATTGCCCAGGTGGTTTATTTAAATTGTCTAGATTTTGCTAAATAACAATTGTCCAAATGGCTTTGAGTTACTTAATTTTTATTAAAGTAAAATATTTCTTTGTTAAACTTAATTTAGTATTTTTAAGCTAGAAATGAATCTATGAATCACTCACGATTAGAAGATGTAGCTACTGCAGAATTAACTATGAATGATGTCGTTATAATCAGCGTTGACTGATATGAAATATTTTTAATTCTTTCATCGAAAAAATTTTGAACAAAGAATAAAACTAGAGTACGAACCTTACAAAAACTTATCATTTAAGCTATAATAAGGTTGAAAATCAGCAATTTCGGTGGAAATATTTATTTTTATTGCTTTTTTTTATTATTATTAATATTTCAACTTCACTCTCTTAGCAGTCCAAAACCTTTTAAAAATTTGAACTCAAATGTTTAGAAATGAAGTTATAGTTTTTTTTTTCCATAAGCTAACAGAAAAAATCAAAACCAAAAGTAATTTCCTGAAACAAAAGTAAAATTATTTTTTTTAATACTTGATTACCTTAACTTTTTTTTATTTCGATAAATTATATTTTTAACACAAATAAATTCAGCTAAAGATATTAAATTTCGAATTATTAATTGTTTTTGCCAGAATTTTCTTGCCTTTCAAAATTTTCATTCAATTTAAATGCATTTCATGAAGAACAAAAAGATCTTGAGAAAATTTCTTTACACTAACACACATTACAAAAAAAAAGCTCATTATAGAATTCTTTGTAAATTTTTATGAAGATTTTGAATAAAGTTAAAATATTTTGCACTGAAAACTAAGGTCTAAGTGTGATAACAATATAATTAACTTCAAACAATATAATTAGTTCTATTTCATTGTCTGTTTGAAAGTTTTATAAGGTTTTAGTTCAAAACACAGGTGGTAACCACATTATTGATATAAAAAATAAATTATTTTGAAATTTATGCATTATAATTTGTTTTACCTATTTTCAATGTCATATATATCTCATATAATCTTAGATATTTTCTAACACAAAGTTAATATTCTTTAATATAAAACTAACACAACTACGCACAATGTAATGGAGTTAAAAGTATATTTTAAGATAATAAACACAAATTACCTCTAATGCCCTATTAAAGCATTTTCTGAATTCTGTATATCAACAACAGTTGGATCAAATGGTTGACCTTTGAAAGGGGAGCCTTCACAGTCCCAAGCTTCTTTCAGAACATTCTGCAGTTTCTGATGAAATAGAGAAGAAGAAAAAAGTTATTAACTTATCTAGAAAGTTACTAAAGCTACTCAAATACAATGAAACTTCTCGGGAATGGCCACTCTCCATTCCACAGTAAAATGGTCCTAGATGGAGGTTGGTCGTCCTTAGAGGTTACCTCCATTGACATCAAAATTGTTATCAAAGGTACACGATTTTTCACAAACAATTTTAATTTTAGTCAGTGTCATTTTCTTGGTACAGAAATACCACTTCTGTTGTTGTCATCATGAAAATACAGATCAATGATTAAAATTTAGCATCAATAAAAATTATCCTAACTGAAATAATTATGTGGGAAAAAAATTTATCAATTATGAATGAAAAAACTATTTTAAATAAATTAACAATTATGTTTTTTTGTTTAAGTTTGCTTTTAATTTTATATCATAGTTAGTTTTAAAAGATATGAAGAGGTTTGTTCATTTGTGATGCTTGTTTTTTATAAAATTACTTTTTTTTCTTTCGAATTTAACTTTCAACTCTAAAAGTAAATCATTGATAGCATCAAGATTACAATGCAACATTAGGTTGTATGCAACACTGATGACTGCAACATTAGGTTGTATCGCCAAAAAAAGCCTCTAAGAGTCTCACACAAATATTTTGAATACAATTTAATCTACTTATTTGGTTTGTTAAATTTTTTGTTTTGATATTTTTTCATGTTTGGTGCAGATGTTTACCCGGTCGATGGGAGAGGTTTTGATGGTCTCTCCAAAAGGTTTTCTTTAACACAAAGTCTATGTAAAAATTTCTGCCCTCACAAAAGTGCTCGTAAATAGCGGTGGTCTTTCCTGGAGGTTTCACTGTATATAAGTATTTGTTAGTAAAATGTATCATTACAGCTCAAAACTAGTAAACTTTAGACATTCAAAGAATCAACTTTTTTTTCTACAGTTGTATTAAAAAGAAAATAAATCATTTGAGTAAATTACAATTCAATTTAAATGTAATTTTTATCTAAGAAATAAAACTGAATTAGGTATCTCTTGATAAATATGGGAATTAGCCATAATGTTTAAAATAAAATAAGCTATAAAACATTTTTTTATAGATTTAAGCTATGTACAAGCTATGTTTAAGCTATGTATGTATGTATGGGATTTTAAAATGTAAAGTACATATTTATTTATCAATAATTGTTTGATAGTTCTAACATTCGTGAATATCCAACAGGATAACACCAGCATTTTTTTTCTATAGCTGTATTAAAATGAAAAAAAAATCCTTCAAGTAAATTGTGATTCAATTTAAATATAATTTATATCAAAAGTATACATAGGTATGCTTTGATAAATAAGAGAATTATACTTGTAATGTTTAAAGTAAAATCAGCTGTAAATTAACTCATTTTTTTAATGATTTAAGCTATACATAAAAACTTAACTAAGAAGTAAGATTATAAAATATAAAGTGCAGATTTATTTATAAATAATTGTTTAATAGTTCTAACATTTATAAAGGTCCAACACGATAACAGCAACATTTTTTTCTACAGTTGCATTAAATTAAAAGCAAGATGGATAAATAAATTGTAATTCGACTAAACTATACTTATACCTAAGAAATCATAATAAATTNAACGCTAGCGTCATGGTTCTTCTTGCGAAAGATATTTAGATTTTTTCTCCTTCTTGTTTGATCAACTTTTTTTCATGGATGTTAGCGTCATGGTTTTTCGCGGAAGCTTTTTTTTTAATGGAATTTAGTAAAAATCTTTTAGCAAAAATGGGAAAATGCTTTGTTGAATTTTAGCATTTTTGAGGGGTCTTTTCGCATTTTGCGAAAAAAGCTACCGTAGCGGAAACCCTGCTGTAAATTAACTCATTTTTTTAAATGATTTAAGCTATACATAAAACTTAACTAAGAAGTAAGATTATAAAATATAAAGAACAGATTTATTTATAAATAATTGTTTAATAGTTCTAACATTCATAAAGGTCCAACACGATAACAGCAACATTTTTTTCTACAGTTGCATTAAAATAAAAACAAGATGGATAAATAAATTGTAATTCGACTAAACTATACTTATATCTAAGAAATCATAATAAATTGAGAATGCTTAAAACTGAATTCTATTTAACATTTGAAGTGTGTAATAAAATAGCTCATTCACTTGAATAGGTTATACATAGAAATTTATATTAGTGATATTATAAAATTATCAAATAAAAAAATTATAAAACAGTTCTGCCAAGACCAACTTAGGTAACTGTGTTTTGAGATAAACTTTTACTTTAACATATAAAGAATAAGCATTAACTATTTAAGCATTTAAACTAGATAAAAATTAGTACACATTCTTTTTAAAAAAAACAATGCATCAATGCAATTGTATTTACAATAGCATTTACAAATAATTTTTAAATATATTTTTGATTTTATAAAAAAATTATAAAGTATTGACAAGTTTCTCATTATTCTAAAAAAGAATTTATATAAAAATAAAAAATATTTTCAATATTCTAAGAAAAAGGAAACATCAACTAAGATTGAATATCAACTAAAACTACTGCATATGTTTTTTCCTAACACATTCAAACAAGGATTTAAAATGTTATGCAATTTTTCTCCATATGAAAAAAATTTGTTTTCTTTAGAATTATTTAATTTTATTTAATCACCTAAAATTCGTTTTTTAACATTAATGAACAATTAATTATTACTGTAGCTAATTATATTCTGTGTAATCTGCTAACTTTGTACATAATTCAGAAAACAATGCATCAACATTTAAAAGATAAGGAAACATGTTTGAAAGAATTATTGTTTAAAATTAAACTACCTTAAATAAGAAGTGTCTTTACTATATTACTTTACATTCAAATTAATAAAGAAAATACAAGCATCATAAGAAACAATGCGTGGTTACTTAATGAAATGTTGAAATCATTAACAAATAAAACATATAAGCCACTAACTGAAATATCTCATAAACTGTAATAAATAAAAATACAGCTATATACTTACACTTTGTTCGATTGTAGGTTTACCCAATCTTTTTTGGTGTTGATTAAACATTAGCTCATTAATCTTAGCTTGGGCTGCTTCATCAAGTTCTTCAAAAGGTATTGACGGATCTATAGATTTCAAATCAATTTTTGGCTCATCGACAAAAAATGAATCCCACCACCGCTCCTGCACTTTTTGGACGCATATCTAAAATAAATCACCGCATTGATTACATGAAAAAAAGTAGAGACATAAAGTTATTGAAATTTAAGTTATGCTATTCTTATCAAATATTAGAAATATTTATTAAGTTTATATATTTAAAAGTTCATGGTAAATTAAGCTACATAAATCTAATTTTCAAAAATTTGTTAACAATAGATATAATTAATTCTTCGTTGGAGAATTACTACTTAACAGGCTTTGCTTTTTTGAAATTGGAAAAAAAACAGTTGCTATCATAAACAAATACCTTGTTTCAACAACCAATCAAGATAACCACACTTCGTCACGTGCAGGTATCCCAGTATAAGAATTAATTTTATGTTAATTTCAACAACAAAAAATGCTATAAACAAATTTTTTTAAAAATTAACAACTAAAGCTATTAACTATTTAATATTTTTAATAAAAATTTTAAAATTGAAAGTAAAAAAATAATAGAAAATTACATGCCTCAAATTCATAGATGATTAAAATATAGATAAGTGATAAAATTTAACATCGGTAATTTTAAGAAGATGGAAAGTTGTTGAGAGGCTGCTTTATTTTGTGAGAAACCATGCATAGCAAATTCTCCTTCACCTACATAAGTAAGTACAAGGGTCTTTTTGAAGTAAGAACAGATTACACATTGAATCAGCTCATTCCGTCAAATGACGTCAGTTCAAGGTCGTCAACTCTCAACTCTACAATTATGCTCATAAATAAAGTTTCCTTTACTCTATTACAAAACAATTCTTACTTAAAAAATGATCCTCACAGAACAGAAAAACTAAAATCAGGTAAACCTAAAGTAAACCATAAAGTTTCAAATGCAGAAAATTTTTTCCTCAAAAAATCAAAATGTAAACGAATTAAGACAAGATTAAACCGGTAATGAAGCAATCCTGCAATAATTTGCTTGTATTTTGATATTTTAAAAAGAATTTTTCCATATTTGAAACGCTGTGATTTAAACAAAGTTTATTTGATCTCACTTTTCTCCAAACTTTAAATTTTGAAAAACAGATGTAAAGGGTTGTTTTTCACGCAAAGAGCATCCTGTTATATAATTTTTTAAGACATAAGTTCACTGTAGTACCAGCAGGCATAAGTACTCATAAATTTTTCTCAACACTTATGGAATCAAAAACTATTTACTATTTATTTCGTTAGTATTTAATAAAACATAGTTAATCATCATAAGTTTAAACTATTATATAATTTAACCAAGGGTAACATCTTAACTTAGCAAACGTTATGAATATATTTGACACATATTTAGTTATCTAAGATTAAAAACTTACAGCAAAGCTTCTAAACAAAATGAAACCTTATAATGAGAACGCATAAAAATAAACCTTTTCATTAAATGCATCATACATGAATATGTTCACGTGGAACTAAGGTCCATGTTGATTCTTCAACATTGATTCTCCATGATAAATCGTTATCTTTTAAAATAACCCATTCATCATTATTAAGATATTCTGCTTTTAAATGAGTGTGTTGAATCAGTACACGGATTTTTTTCCCAGTTGTTACATGATTTGGAACCTAGAAGAGAATAAAAAGATCTCAGTTTTACTAAGAATACTCAAAATAATTCAGCATCTTGTTTCTTTATTTATACAGTCAAACCCCGCTATAGTGAACATGGCTTATAGTGAACTTCCGGATACAGTGAACCAAATTTTCGGTCCTGTGCCTTGCTATACACGCATAATGTTATTTTTTGTGGATATAGTGAACCAAAAAAGTGAGGAAGTTGGATATAATGAACTTTTTTTTGTCTTCGACTGATTTTTTTCTTCATTTTTTTTTCTTTTAAATTTTCAGGGAATATAAACTATCCAAATCTGAAGTTTGTAACATATGGAAAAATAGGCAGCTAATAATTTCTGCTCATGAAAAATATTTAGATGGCAGAAAAAAGTTGAGAAAAGCAGAACACAAGGATGTTGAAGAAGCATTACTGAAGTGGTTCACCATTCGAAGAAGCCGTAATCTGGTCAAATGTGGGTTAATTTGCTAAGTGATTTTATGAGACTACTTTCATGTGCTCGAATGGCTGGTTAGACAGGTTTAAAAAGCGGAATAACAGAAATTCAGGAAAATTTATCTGAGAGTCGAGAAATGTTTCCACAGCTGATGTTGAGGATTGCTCATCAGCTAAAGATTACTAACTTTTTTTGTACGCAAGACGAAGAGTAATGAAAAATAAAAAAAATTTTTCTACTACATAATATTTTTCAGTCATTTATTTGAATAATGTGTAATAAAAGGAAGGAGTTTGTGAGCCATTAGTTAAATTGCCTGCGTTGCGGATATAGTGAACTGAAATTTCTTTTCCTTGAAGGTTCACTATAGCGGGGTTTGACTGTATTAGAAGTTCATAAATTATAATGGAAAATAAACTTACAAACCCGATTAATTTTACTTGCAACTACAGACAAATAAATCCTTAAATGAGTTGTATTATTTTTAACAAATGAAATGTTAAAACTAAAAATTACCATAAAATACATTTTTGACTATAATAACTAAATTCTATAATGATTCTGCAGATTGCTTCATATGGAGCCCTAAAAACGAAACATTTTAGAATTAAAAATACTGTTAAATTGAAATAATAAAACACATGCAAGATTGTATAAATGCAAATTGTATTTTCATGACATTGTATTTTCATGACATGAGCTTTATTGAATTGTAGAATTAGCAAATTATATCTCATTACCAATTAGAGTCACTTTCAAAATAAAAAGACATTTTAAAAAAAATTTCTTAAAAAAATTTTTTTGAATTACTATTAATAAAAATTTTAGCTGCCATTGAAATGTTTCTTGTCCTTAAAACTTAAAACAACAGTGCCCTTTTTGATTTGGATCATAAAATAGAAAAATAAATAAAATATTAACTTATCTTTGCCTCTGTTACCAATGTTCAAAAGTGTTTAAATAAAACAATAAAATAACTTACACTCTAGTAAAATTTACATTGTAAATCACTATAATTGCTTTTTGATAAATTATATAGATAGATAAGCTTTAATAAATAGTTCGTAACNAAGGTTAACTTAGAAAAAGAATTTAGTGGTTAGAACAATGTTTTTATAACAATTACTACCTAAAATTGCTATGAATATGTTTGTCTAAATACTTTGGGTGTTCCCTTTGGCATGCGGCCCTTCGTTAGTCAATCTGCAGCGCATGTGGCCCTTCACTCAAAAAGGTTGTGCACCCCTACTCTACATACATAAGCAGATTGCTTTATATGTTATTTTAGAAACGAATAAAGAATGAAAAAGACTTATAAATTAAAATTTTAAAAAATACTATAGCAATATTGAATATTTGCAAGGATCATTGATTTTTCATTACATGTATTATTGCGTGTTATCGTTATTATCATGCATATTATTTTAATAAATGCAATAGAAAAATATACTTTGATTCGAACATCTGCATCTTTAATGGTTTGTGCCCAAGAGTATCCTTCATAGCTGGCTCCATTATATGAATCTGGATCCATCAAAGGTGTTTTATGATCACTAAAAAGATGCATAAAATATATTGCAGGTATGTATGCGATTGTGCTTTATTCATTCATTTATTTATTTTTTTCGTAGGCAGATGATTTTAACAGAAACTAACTCTTTTGAAGTAACAAAATTAGAATCATAGTTTTATACTTTAACAATTCCAGTACATTTTATATAATGATCATAACTTGTAATGTTATTCTACTACTAAAACAAAAGAATTTTTTTTTAAAAATCTTAAAAAAACCGAAATTTCATAAAAATTTCACCTTTTTTTTTTATAAAAATATTTAAGGAACTACAACAGTAAAAATAATTGACTAAGAATTTTAACGTTTTGACTGTAAGAAATTATAGAAAACATGTGCATAACATTAATACATAATTTCTTTGATGAAGAAACAGAGTTGAAAAAAAGTTATTAAAACTTATTAAACATAATTAGTCTTTCTTCAACAGACAGTTAAATAAAAATAAAAAATTTCAATAAAAATATTAGTTGATGATGTATAATACTTAAAGCAGCTTACGATTTATCATCGTTATGCAGACTTTTGCTTACGTTGACTAATTCATTAGTTTTTATATTGTCATCAGTTTTAGGTTCAGATTCTACTTGTTCAGGAGAAGTAACCACAATTTCTTCTGCAATACACTCTAAAAAACGCAATAATTTAGAAATAATAAAAAATGCAATAAATGAAAAATACATAATAAAATGTCAAACAAATTTTTCCTATCAATTAAAATTACATTTTATACACCAATATATAAATATTTAATCAATTAAAATTATATTTTATACACCAATATATAAATATTTAATCTTCACACAAAAGCGTTTTAAAAATTTGTGAATTTGATGTAACAAGGATATAGATTAATTATTTTTGTAATTGTAATAAGTTATAGAATTCTTGATTTAAGTTATATATTTCTACATGCATTTTCAAATATGGTTTAGATACATTTCAATATATTTTTTTTAATGCTAATACTTATGATGCTGACTTTAAATTATAATAGATTAATGCTTTTATTTACTCCTAATGCTTTTACTTAATGCTTTTTACTTAATGCTTACTTAATGCTTTTATTTTAGTTGAGCTATTAATTTGTGTAAAATTCCAGTTCATAATTTAATTTTATTAAATTTTAGAAAATTTATGCTTTACTTAAAAAAAATTGAATATAAAATTGCAACAATTTATTTTACAGTTTTAAAAAAATTCAATTTTATTCACCTGAAATGACTGGCTCTGAACTTGAAGTTGCTTCAATATTTTTCTCTAAAATAGATTGCTCCATATATTTGCAAAACACCTAGAACAAAAAATTACCTACAGATATTAAAAGGTTTTTAAAAAAAATATTTGCCTACTTTACAAAATAACATTTACTAGTTGCTTTTGGCGACCAGCTTGGTCACCTTTCAAAATTATCTTTTACAACATATAAACTTAAATGGTAACCAAGTCCAATGTACAGCACAACTGTGTTTAAATACTCTAATTCATCGACTACTTTTCAAATTCTAATTTCTTAACTGTTTAAACAATATAATAAAAAAACATTTTCATTGTCTAGCACTCGCTTGCATGGAAGTACTTTGATTTCAATTTCAAACATTTTCAAGAGATGTGCATGACATTGCCAAAATTCTACATCTACAGAATTTCAGCAATAATTTAAACTCTGGGCATCAGCTATTTAATCACACAAACCACTGTAATTATGAGTTTGCGACATTTCAGCATTGTACACAGCTATTTCCATCTCTATCAAGAGATAAAGATAGATAACTCATCCCAATGTTCCATTAAGTTTTGTACTACATCCTCACATACCTCTCGACCCATAACTCAAGTATTGCATAATATGGAAAAAGGCAAGCTCCGTTACCAATAGCTTGTATGACAGTATGCGGAGCTCCGTTTAAGTTCAAAATTTCAACAGTCATTTTAGAAAAGATCAAAAATAAATCTAAATAATTAATTACTTTGCAACTAAACTTAAATTTCCATAAAATACAAAATTAATCTAAATAAATACATCTTGACATATAACAACTCAGTGCTACTAAAATAATTACAGAAGGCAAATTTAACAAAATGAGTCTAAATAAATACATACTTAACATATAACAACAAATTCTGGTACTTTTCAATTAGCCCGGCGTAAGAAAATGTCGCTAAAAAATTTAAACCTCCACCACCTTTTTTATTTATTTATTTTTTAAAAAAATAAATAAAATAGAACAATAAAATTTTTAAAAATTTGAATTTCCTTGTGTCCTGCAAACCAAAGAGTACACCTTATTTTTTTAAGAATATTTAAATTATTGCTTAAGACAACCTAAAATAATGCATAATAATTAGAATGTTGCCAATTGATACAGAAATACGGAGTTCATAGTGCCACATAATAAATATATATGTTCATAGATAAGATAGTTTAACATTTAAAGAACAAAATATACTAAATATGATAATTGATATAACTTGAAGAAAGAAGTTAAGAACATTATGTAATTGGCTTTAAGCCCATTATTTTTTTAAAAAGTGTTTTTATTACATTATTTTAATTATTCTATTCGTGCTTCATTATTTTTTAAGTATTAATTTCTTCTTTTTTCACAAAGAAGAGATAATAAGACAAGTGGAAGTGCCATTCTTTATTATAAAAAAATGAAAACAGTTAATTTTCTTTTCTTTTGCAATAAATTGAAAAGTAATTATTTCTTTTTTTCACAAAATGTATTAAAAAACAGGATTAATTAAAAATATAAGCAATCAGTTTTTAATAAGGTTTCAAAGAAATTTTATACTTAAGAATCATCATTATATTTAGTCATTATCAATCCACTAGAAGAAAGTCGTCATCAAACTTAGACAAAGATTTTGCTCTACAACTTTTGTCTTTCACATTTTTTAGAGAATAGAATACTCCCATAACGCTAACCAAGTTCCAAATATAACTATTAATAAGTTGCAATACTAGAAGATATAAATTGACTAGTAGACATCTGTTTGACATTTTTGGTCTACATGGGCTTGATTTTGTCATCAATTTCCCACACAAGAATATGGTGTCAGGTCAGACAATACTTGTTTTGACCATGTGTTAGGGGTTCAAAATTCACTCTAATCTATAGCCTCCTGCAGTTACAGAGCCAGAAATATCCATGCACGGTTGGGGACAGAGGTTCGAACAACTGCTCTCTGTCCACATTTTAAATAGGGAGAGATGGAAAAAATTTATTAACTAGGTTCAAGTAGAAAAAACTTTGTAAGTGAAAAATTTATTATCTAGGTTCAAGTACCAAGGAGCCACTACTAATCTTCTAGACTGAATTTGAGCTGTCATCTAAAATTATGTAGTGATCTGCTCGAGGTAGGTTATACCCTTTAAGTTAGCCTTTCTCATGATTTTATTTTATTATTTTACTTTTTTTTTCTTTTAGTTTCTAACACGTTGCTGTCGGTCAAAATTTTGGCAATTTGCTTTTCACAATTATCGATAAAAAAAATTTCTCTGACAAAGCATTTGCAAAAAAAACTTTTATAGTTTTTGCATAATTTTATTATAAATATACAACTATTTAATAAAGACAATATCAGAGTTCCCAATAGTTTTCAAGTCAAAATGGGTCAAAGGGGAAAAATATTGCGAAAATTGCCAAAACATTGCAAAAGTGGTTCAAAAAGGAGGTCCTATGTTTAAAAAAGGGTCAGACCGAATATTTATCTTAGAACAAAAACATTTTTCTTTCAAATAAGTAAAAAAAAAAACAGAAAAATATCAAACTATTAAGATAATAGAAAAACAATATCAAAGTTTTAAAATTCTTTAGACAACATTTAACTAATAAAGCAATAATAAATTTACGGAAAAAATAAACGATATGATATTAGCATGTAATTAAAGAACGATATTATTCATAAATGATATAAAATCGTTACTTACGGATCTCACTATGCTTTCTGCTTCACCAGATGCAAGACCTAAATCAGAACTATCAGATTTGAGTTTAAAAAAGTCAGTCCTAAACCAATATAAAAAAGAATAATTTGAAAAAATTAATCTTAAATACTTAATCAGATTCAGTTTATAAAAATTAAAGGGAAATTTTACGAGATAAAATTAATAATAATCACCTGCGGTATAAAAAGTCAAACATTTTGTCAAAGAAATCAATTATATTCCCTTCTCCACAAAGAATAGAGGATATCAAATCATCGTAATTTGTTTCAGTTGGCATGATTAGACAATATTAACTGCTAAAAATTTATGAAATCCAACATTCGACGAAAAATTACTAAAATTTAAAACTTTGAAAGTTCAGCATTCATTAAAATTTTCTTTTTTTTTTTAATCCTCTGTTTTGTAAATAAACAAAGCGTACGCGGTTAGAACTCATGCAGTTATATTTTTTATATTTTAAAAACTTTCTAAAATGTTGAGAAACGGAAACATTTATAAATCCTAAACAGTTTTTGAGAATTATAATTCATAAATTTAATTTGTTTGAGACTTTATTATTGCAATTTTGGAATATTTATAAACGTATACTTTGGAATGGCATCAATCTCAATTAAAAGTCATATCAAAACAAAAACAATCAGTTTGTTAGCCGGTTTATGTGTATTATTAATGAGTTGCTTTTAAAAACTTATATATGAGTTCTAGATATTCCCATTATAATGATTCCAAGCCAGAAAAGTGTCGAGCTTGTACAGATTTTAAAACATGGACAAAACAGCAATCAAATTCACAGAATAAGAAAATTCTAGAAAATGGAAAATTAGAGGTGTGTGATGCAATACGTAGAAATATAAATCTATTTTCTTTATAATAATATTTAATTTTTTAAAAAAAATTAAATTTTAAAAATATTTAGTGGGGCAAAAGTATAACTTGTTGCATAAAAAAAATCTAATAAACAGTAAAATTCAGAACTTGTATATGCAACTTTCTCTGCTTGTAAAGTTTTGAGGTCCTGGGTTGAATTTTTTAAAATCCGTTTTTGAACAACCGACCCAAATTTGGGTTTGAGACTACTATAGTTTAACTCCGTATCCTTTTAAATTTGAACCCAATTCAGAAGACAAGGGAACTTCTGGATCAAGCATTGAGAGAAATTCTGTCTTTGTGGAGGACTTTTTTGATGGAACTAACATGCATTCGCGTTACATAGAGAGAAAAAACCCCACGGTTAGCCCGATGGCAAATGGACTCTAACCCTTGATCCGTGTACCGCAGAATATATTTATGCGTTATTGTGCGTAATTTGTATAGACCAGTCATCACTGGGATTCGAACCTCATTGGAAGGCGAACGCTCTATCCCCTGAGCCACCATGACTCGAAAGTGTTAGATTGTGAATTCGTCCATGCGATTTTCTGACCCTGAATAAAAATGAAATTAATAAAGCATTTCATCAAAAAATAAACAAAGACTCACGTCATCATAAAAAAAATAATACCTTTATTAAAATTGTTCATCTAATTATATTACTGAAGAAATTTAATATCATAAATAAGGGTAACTCGAAGAGCTTTGCTGTGGTGATCAGATGGCAAAAGCTACTTAGGATGGCTTTGGCCTGCAACAGGCTGTAGTTCCTTGAAAGGAGTAGAAGTATATTACTACACCATAACTTTTATAGATTTATAAATATACTTCAGTGTTTCTTGTATTTTCCCAACATAAAATTATCTCAGTTTTTTTCACTTTATTATATGGCTGATTTACAAATTTGTTTTTTATTTTCTTTACGTGATTATATCTTAGTTTCAGGTTTCTAAGGAATGCCCTTTAGATCGTGAAGAACTTGGTAAAAATACTTGGTCTTTCCTACATACATTGGCTGCTTATTTTCCTGACAAACCATCTGAAGGTCAGAAAACTGACATGAAAACATTTATAACATTGTTTTCTAAGTTTTATCCTTGTAAAATTTGTGCTGAAGATATGCAAAAGGAGTAAGTTTCTGTAATAAGAACGATTAGTATTTCTTGCATGAATAATTGTAACTTTTTCCTGTTAAAACGAATTTAAGAAATTTACTAGAATATTCATAAGCGATAATACTAAAAATATAATTTATAGAATAATATTATAATATAATTTATTAAAATGTTCAAAAGTAGTGATACTAAAAAATATATATCAATTATAATATTTCATTGAAGTTTGAAATAAATAAAATTTAGTAGATCAATAAAAAATTTTAAGCTTACATAATTTTTTATTAACAAAAAAATTGTGATTTATATACCACATATAATAGATTCATAGGTTTGTTATTAATCATCTATTTGACTCTGAGTTACACATATTTTAAAGTTGTTCTTGATTATTTATATCCCTGAGTTTTAGACAAAATTATTATATAAATATTGTACATATAACTAATCAATTTTTACATGAAAATATAATTTAGCACACTATAAAAACATGCTAATTTTATGTTAATTTGCTTTTTTTTCTTTAATTATATAAAAAAAAGAATTTAGTTTTCTTTAGACAAGAATTTAAGTATCTCTACAAAGTTTAATGTGCTTTAATGATTTTTTTTTTCAGAATACATTCTCTCCTAATATGTAATAAGAACAGTATTTTATTACAGGATAGTATTTAATATTATTATTATATCCCAAAAATAACGCAAACAATGATCTCCCTGAGAATCACAATAAAATTATTATTTTTCAGTGGATTTCATTGCATGTAGGAATCGATGACAATCAAAAGGCTGACTCTTTGACTAAGAGTCTGCCTTTTCTTCGCTTTTTACCTTTTCTTAGATAAAAAACAAACTCATTCTTCCAGAGTCATTTAAAAGACTCATTTATGAAAAAAATTATAGATAGCCTCAAATGCGGTTAAACAGAAAAGTCAATGGGTAAATCGGCAAATATCGAAAATAACTAATCTCCAGCAACAAACCTTAGACTAAATATAGACCATGACTGCTTGGCAAAATATCTGAATAGAATAAGTATATTGCTGTCAAATATTTATTAAAACTGTAAAGGGAGAATCATAAATGCTTAACTTTCTTATGTGCCCAGATTTAGATAGTTTTAGAGGTGTGGTAAAATCCCCAAATTATATTGGACTGCTTATGGATCAAATTCTACTGGTCCTTTTTTCGCCTGTTTCTTATTTAATCTTTTAATTGTTTACCTCTCAAATACAACTTCTGTTTCCTATAATTTATTTCTAACTATGAACTATAGCAATCGCTTTTTACAGCTTAATGTTTAAAAACCATTTGCTCTCATCAAAAATCTTTAACTAGAAAACTATGCACTGTGTCTTAGTAAATTCTTATTCAATATATGTTTAGTTGATAATGATACTACATTTCAATATTAATTGTGAAAGTTTTAACTTGTTTTTTTCTTCTTAGTCTTACAACAGATCCACCTGCTGTCAATAGTAGGCATGATCTGTCACAATGGATGTGCCAATATCATAATAAAGTGAATGAAAAATTAGGAAAACCATTATTTGATTGTTCTAAAGTTGACGAGAGATGGCTGCATGGATGGAAAGATGGGTCATGTGACTGAGCTTCTTAAATATGTGTAATACATAGTTAATTTGTATATAGTACCTATATTAAGTTATTTTTTTAAAGTTCATAAATAAACCAAACTATATAAAAAAGTAAGTTGTTTATCTTTTAAATCCATATTTCCATGTTTTCCATATAACCATGGAAAAATGAAAAATGCTTCTCAATTCAAATAACAAAGCAAAATACATTAATAATTTCAGTGTGGAAATGAATGCATAGGTGAAATCGTGATATAAATTAATTAAATACACCAGGGTTGCCACAGAAAAAAATGAACAAAATAGTTGCTTTTAATGGCCTAAAGCATGAAAATAGTTGCCTAAATAAAAACAAAAATTCATCGAAAATGTAACTAAAATTTTGTTAATGACTTAATTGTCACATACCATGATTCATTTAGTCAAGTTGGTGGCAAATATGATAATTTTTATCTAAACGTTAATGTTCTAGCACTATTTTCCCTTTTATCAATAATTGATCTAGGAAATATATATACACACATATATTGTGAAAAGTGATTACTCAAATTCGAAATTCACTCATCGTAATATCATATAATAAAATTTTAAAATCTTGCGGAATTTCGAAGCAATAATTACTGTAAACGCGACCGAGAAACAAAATAGACTTACAATGGAATCTGCAGATTGAATTAATTAAAAAGTGAAGACTCAAATTTTTACAATTCAAAATTTTTTATTTTATGAAAAAAAAGTTCAGTGTGTTCAAAAGTTATCGTGGGCATCAGATTTTGAACCTAATTTAAGCTTAAAAAAACATAGCTAGGAGTACAGAAAAGTCTCCTTTTTCTGAAAATAGTTGCTTTTTTAGCCAGTTCTGGCAACAACAAAAAAGACACCATAGTCGCCTCATGCCAACAATAGTTGCATTTTAGTCGCCTGTGGCAACCCTGATTCTGAAACTCAGTATTACCTTTAAAAAATATTTCCTAATTTTTAATATAAGAGCTAATAGGCTAATAATTAGCACCAAGGTCTAATTTTTTATTGAAAACTTGTTTTGGTGAACTTATATGATTAAATTATAATAAAATTTGCATTTTTTACCTGTATATTATAAATTTGTTTAAATGAGTTCCAAATTGTAATAATAATATTGAAAAATTTTATTTAATAGTTTTAAGGAAAAGCAAATTTTTCTCAAAATTTAAAGTTATGAACTTACATAATGTATAGGAAATAATTGTTTTTCTTGTACTCAACACAATAAAAATATAATTTATTATTTTTATTGAATAAAAATAGCAAAGTTTGAGAAAAATAAATTTCAGACCAAAAATATTAAATTTTTTTTTCTAACTTAGAATATGTATAAAAAAGTGCATGTGCTTAGAAATGAAAATAAACGGGTAACAAAAAATAATTTGGACACACACTATAATTTTAATGATTGCTAAAATACATATAACTTCCAATTATGTATTTACAAAAAATTTCAAAGTGACCATCTTTAGCTTCAAAGCAGAGTTGCAAATGTATCACAAAATTTTCTTCTATATCTACTGATTTTTTTTTTTTTTTTTTAAGGGATGTGTTTACCTTTCAGTTGGATTAAATGGAGAGTTGGGAATAATAATAAGAAAAAAAAATTTCTGTAAAAAAGTCAGGAAAATTTGTCTTGCATAATTTTTATTTGCTTTAAGCTCTGTATACTCATGCAGGATTCGATCTTATATTAGGCAACGTTCTTCGGGGCCTGTGCAAAAGGGCAGAAAATTCAAGTTTATAATTTACTTAAAAAATTTGACCGTTTTTTAAAGGCTTCAATAAATTCATCAATCCTACTTTTTTCAAACTCTTTCAGTGAAATATTAGTCCCTCTGCATTGCTCATTTACGGTTTAAAATATAAATATATGTCTTCTCATTTATATACAGGACGTATATTATTTATTGAAAATGGTCACTCAGAACCAGATAATTTAAATGCATTTCCTTACCTTAAATATGCACTTTTCAAGTATAAACATTTTATCAAGATGCACGAGTATAAATTATTCTGCTAGTTTTTATTAAAGTTTAGAGTTTTGTTAAGATTAGTCTAGCATATTTTGATTATGATTAAATATTGTATAGAACACTCACGATATAACAACCTCAAGTCAAGTTAAAATGCCCATTTTCTTTTCCAAGACCAGGAACATTTTATCAAGTATTGACTCAGTGTGAGCATATAAATGTATAGGGTGGAAATTTTTTCCCAGATAATTGAGCCAGTCCTTTGCTGGTTGTCGGTAAGAGAAAAATAGCTGCAGGATTTTTTCTTTCTATGTGGTTCGGGTGGATAAGCAGTTTTTTACTTACTAATTTAAGTCTGCTTTCATTGTATTAAATTTAAATTAAACACAAACGTTTCTAAATTAAAAATTTGCTTGTATCAATCATAAAGTTCAAGCACATATTTTTAACAGCTTTAGTAAAATTTAAAGCAGCTTTTTTAAACTATAATATTTTAAATAAATAAAAGAACTATATTGTAATTGCAGAAATAATTTGGAGTAGCAGTTTCATTTTACTTTTAAAATTTTCCTTAATTAAAGATAAATATGAAGTATTATATAAGAGTAATGTTAATATAGATATGAATCCTTAATCTATGAGTTTTGGAAAAATATTTTTCTAGTTTTATTTTCTGCAAGAGCAAATAAAACTAGAAAATTAGCATCAATTAAAATAGTTATAACTATAATATTAAAAAACAGGCCTATGTACTTCAAAACACAAATGATTATGGTTCATTACCTGATATTTGGAAAAACAAATTTAAAGTTTTATATACGATAAAAATTTGGATAAATAAAAAAAATAGAACTGCAATGATAATGTAACATAGTTAAAGCACATTAAACTTCCTAATTACAATTTTCTTAATATTTTTTTTCCCTTAAAAAAGACTTCTTTTTTTTTTTGTAACCCATTTGCGATTTAGAAAATGGGTAAAATTGGGAGAATGTTTCTTCTTAATATACTACTTCCCAATCTATTGACATTTAAAAACCAGTTTTGCTAAGCAGAGAAGACTGCAGGCGAAAGTACGATTTTTTATTTTCCACAACTGTCGGTGGGTTAGTAAAAAATAAATATTAAAAAAAATTAGATGTGTTGAAATGGCATTACTTTTTTCGGTCTTAATTTAACTAATAATTTCATTCATATACAAAAAATTTTGTAAATAAAATAAATAACTCAACAAAGGATAGAAAATATGTTGTGCTATGTAGGCAAAAGCAAAAAAACAATGTGAATCGAGCACAAATTCGTCAATTTATGTACATTTGTGATCGATTCATCTTGTTTTTTCTTTTAAAATAAACAAAATTCTTAAAAAAGCATAAATGCATATTTATTTAAACAAATATACCAATCAATACACACTCAAAAATACTGTGCTGTAAATATCACCACATCTCAATACATTTGTTCTCGTGCATAGTTTTCAAACAGGAAAAATATTCAACTTAAATATTACTTAAATAATATACACATCTTAAATATATTTAGTAGATCATTAAAAATATAGATAGTCAATCATTAATGGCAAGAAAAAAATCAATGCAAATTCTGTGACCTATAGCGAAAGAGCTTTTAAAATAAGAAAATAAGTATTTTTAGATATTTTGATGCCTTAATTGCTATTATAAGTTTCGCTGTATGCTAAATAAATTTTGATTACCTTTAAAAATAGAAGAAATAGCTACTGAAGATAGTGTACAGATATGATCTGTTCCAAAATACTCACTAATAAAGAAAGTGAAATTTAATTTTGATAAGAACTTTCATATTATAATTTTATAATGCAATAGTTTAAACTAGGCGTTTTATAACCTATTATATAAAGAGCCAAATTAATGCCTCAGCTAAAACCCAAAGCTTGGCTATTATACAAACACACTATAAATTTAAATTGTGCACAAAACTCATTTTGTAATCAGCCAGCAAAGGTTCATTTTAAGTTTTGTCTGTATATATCGATATCATTTTATTTCTTATTATTATGAATTGAAAAATTTAATTAGAATTTAATAAGTATTAGTTATTGTATTTCTTTGGATTATTATTTTATTCACATCCTGAATTTTAATATATAATCATAATGGGTAGTCAAATATCGGCATCAGATGTACCAAGCCTGAAATCCCAGGCTGTAACAGTGATGCTTGTGTGCCTTACTTCTGAAACTTTTGGTTTAAACAAATAAAATAAAACTCTGACAATTCACATTGTTTTTAGTGGGAACAGAAATGTTGTGAATAAAATTTCGAATTTATAGTTAAAGTTTTAGATTTTATACAACGCTTACAATAATAATGAGATGTTTTGGAAATGTTTGTAATGTAAGAAAGAAATTATTTTATATTTTAAAATAATTAAATCACTTTGAATAACTACTGTAAAACCTGTTTTGAAAATTGATATCGATTAAGTCTGAAACAATATAAACATTTTCATTTTAAAACTAATAGCTATTTAATAAACTAAAGGAAACCTAAAAATATAGCAAGCACAAACAACATTCAACAATTTAATAAATTCATATAACATCTAAGAACATCACAGATAAAACAGGTAACAAAAGCATTTCCAAAAAATTCAAAATCAAACAATTGTTCTATCAGAAAAAAGTATTAACATAAGCACCAATAGTATATTTTGCTTGTTTTATTTGATATTTGATTGTCACTTGTAACATTATATTGCATCAATTATAATAACCAGAGCTTGATTTGAGAAGGGATAGTGATTTTCAGTACAAGCCATCAGATAAAATCAAGTACTTATAAGAGTTTAGCACCAAGTTTATAAATTCCTCATGTTATTTAATACAATTCAGTTTAACAACCTATTCATGAAGTACCTTACAAGTACTTAATAACCTACAGGTAAAATAAATATTTATGCTTTTGCATCTCTAAAATAAGAATAACAGTACAGTCCTTTTTATCAGATTTAAAAATTCACAAGAGAAATCTTTGCTCTGTAATAATTTTTAAAAGAAATCAAAGCACATATATTTTTAAGTTAAGTTCAATCAGCCAATTTTATTTCATAATAACAGAAACATTAAATTACAATAACAAATTTGAAAAATATTCAGTGGATTATTATTAAAATGCTGTATTCAATTTCCTAGTAAAATATAATTAAGAACATAAATAAAATTTAATTAAAATAAAAGATTATAGAAAAAAATGTAACACTTTCCAATAATTAGTTTCGAAGCTACTAATTTTAGTTACCCAACACACTTTTAGGGAATATAGAATTTAAAGTCTGAGAACCAAATCCCTTTAAATTTTTTTACACATATTTTGTTAGCTTGTTTTAAAACTATGATTAAGTTATTTATTAGCTTAAATCCAAGATGGCCACTCTGCAGACAAACCTCCAATTACTTGAGTTTTTCTAAATAAAATTTAAAAAGTTCTTCAGACTTTTACCATTTAAATTAGCCTATTTTTAATAATAGTTTAAAAATTAAATTATATAATGACAACATTTATATGCGTTAAAAATGTTTGCATTGCTGCAAAAAAATTTCTAAAAATTATAACTTTCTTTTTTAATTTAAAACTATTCATTATTTCAAACCTCATAATAAATAAAGAATTTATAAAACAAAAAAAAATGTAATTTAAATAAAATAAAAAAAATGGTCAACCTGAAATCAAGCCCTGTGTAAAATGAGTGTAAAAATAAAATCACTGTGGAAATATATATAAAATATAATAATTAATATGGAGAATTCTTTATTCAAGACCAAAATAATTATTCACAACAAAGAAAAACATTTAACACAAGACATGACTAGAAAAGTAGTAGGATTTGTAAGAAGAAACATATTCAAGTAAATGTTTTGAACTGAAATTCGGGAATTAAAAAATTATTAATAAATATCCTTTCAAAAGTTTAAATTTTTAATCACTTATTATCTAATATTAAGATAATTTAATATTTCTATCCTATAAAAAGGCTCAATTAAAACTTCTCACTATTGCAAATAAAATATCATGCAATATTTTGTCTTTAATAATTTTCTAAACAAAAAATATAACATAATGCCCTAAAGTGTTTAGAAATACAAAACAGCCAAATAACCCATATTCATGCCGCATTTAAAGTTTCATTGCACAAAAATGTTTCAATTTATTACTCTTTATTTAATTGTCATAGTCTTTATTGGAACTATCACTCGGTATTTGATGGTGTAGGACTAATTTGTTGTTCAGGCTGAGTTGTTGGTAGACTAGGTTTACGAGGCAAGACTTTGGTGGCAGATATAGGGGGTGCTTTGGAACCTTCTTTGATTTGCATGTGATACTTATAGATATTTTCTGTACTCTCAATAGTACCTGAAAAAGATAAGATTTAGAATATGATAAAAAAAACATGAAAAGGGAGTAGAATATAAATTAAGTATTTTTTATTACGCAAGAGTTTAAGCATGAAAGAAAACTTGGTACACATTTTTAGCAGTGAAAATTATAAATGGATATAACTACTAAAGGTATATATATTTCTGAGATGATACAGAATTAAATCGCTGTTGTTTTATGCCACTTGTCAATACTAACAAACTTATTTTAAAGCAGAAGAGTGCGCTTCTTGTTTTCCAATGGCGCCATCTATGGCCAAGAATTCAATTTCTGCCACGTACATATGTCACAGCCAGTTTTACAGGTAGGACACAATCGCATACACCATCCATCTGCAGATTTTAACCTGAACCAGACCACGATCAATCTCTGAGTCAGTACCCTCAGAGGTGTTGATTTGTTACAGGAACTTGGAGAATTTTGTGATCCCCACAGACTTAGTGTGCACCAGTCACCATTTTGTACATGGGGAATCTCTGGCCAGCTGGAATCAAACTCATAACATCTTAGGCATGTGCCCAATGCCCTACCAACCAGGCTATCTCAGCCTACAGAATTAAATTGATTAGTAAATTTAACAATGAAACAATTTTATATTATCTTGAAAAGCTGAACAAACAGTATTATATACAAAGTCTGCACAGTAAAAAAAGGAGAAAAAATTGCTAGAGCTGTGGTTCTGAATCTTAATTTATTCATTTTTAATTTACACATATATACAAAAAACAAATTCATAATCAGAATAGACATAGCACAAGAACTACAAATGTAGCTGTCGGAAATAAAACCTAATGTAATATTATTAATAATATAGCAATGAAAAATCTTCATTCTTCTAATTAAACATTTTAGTCTTTTATGGGTTATAATGTTTACTATTACAGGGTGCGCAGCCAAATTTTTCCACATAAAATAAGCACCTTTTAAGTACTTTTTAAGCATTAAAAAATATTTTTAATCACTTTCCAAAAGAAATATAATAATAATAATTACGATTTGTGAAGTAATAAAAATTGTTTTTTTCTATCGTTTAAAGTTCTTAATTTATGAACAAAAAATCTATAAAATTTAAAAACATTTTCGTCAACTTCACATAATCATGATAAAATAGCTAGTTTCTGATAAATATTGCAGAGAAAATTGTTTAAATCATGCATATTTTGAATGTTTGGATCAAGATTTGTAGCCAAATGCTACTTTAAAATACATGCAAACAAGAAATTTTAAAACACACCCTACACCCATTTTAATAAACCTTATATTTCGAAAGAATGCAAGTTTTTTAAAACATCTTACTTACAAAATGATAAACACACATTGCAGCTGTAATTCAATATTTAAAATATAGTACCTGAAGATAAATTGAAACTTCGACCTTTAATACCAGTTTCAGTAGGGGCTGGATACCACCAAGAAACGAGGGAACCTATAACAGGAACCTGACGCAGTACACCCTGAAAAATTGTGATAGTTGGTTTTACAAAAATTAATTTAAAAATATTATAAATATTTGCTTTAGCAAATATTTATAATATTTTTAGATGACGAGCAGATACATCTCTGAGAGTAAACAATTTCATATTAGCATCATAACTGGAAAAAAATTTTACTGAAAATCTAATGATCAATTAAAATATAGGTTAGGTTATAATCGTGAATACTTACTTCTTGCATTAGTTTTTCTTGGTTTTCTTGCATCAACTCTTTATTCGCTTCTTCAATTCCTTGCCTTACAACCTCTGACATACTTTCAAGAAACTAAAAGATAATAAAAATATCCAGATTAATATGTATTTAAATTTTGTGTCATACATTTTTGTAGAACACAGATTTTTACTCACTAATTAGGATCCATTTTTATAATGTTTCGATTATATAATACAATCATAAAAAATAACTTTTTAAAATTTCTTCAGTTTTTATATTTCACTTAGCCCCTTTATGGGAACAGCTTGGTTTCTTCACATCTATGAGTCATTCTCTTTTACAACGAATTGTAACTCCTTACTGAATAGTATTTAATTAATAATAAGTGAATCTCTAAGAACTGTTAGAAATTTAAATGCATTAATAGGAGAGTACTCCTTTTACATATCATGTTTGACAGAGCTTTAATTCATACAAAAGTTTTTTTTAAAAAAAAGTGAATCTTAGAAGATTTCATAGGATGTCAGACGCTACTAAAATCCATATTAAATAAATATAACAAACCTAATTATTGATTTTTTTAAAGAAAACTAAAAAAAAAGAACCTAACATTCTCAAAGCAAGTACCAATTCATACTATTGAGTAAGTAACTTTATTATTAAAGTATATAATTGAATTAGAATACAAAACAACCACCTATGTTTATAAAAATTTATTTAATATTTCACAAATGAAATTTATTTAATGCTTCACAAAGATAGATAAATCAATTTTTGAAAACTCAAAATTGCTGTGATATTCTTAATGTTTACACAACCATACATAAGACCTAAAGATTTGATTGCACTATTAACATATTATGACAAACAAACAATTGGAGAAAAAATTATTTTTTAGGTGCATGTAAGTTTCTAATTAAAAATCAGTAGTGTTTTTGCATGTGATGCATTTATAATTTTAAAAAGCAACAATAGATCTAGCACATTAATTCATGGCACAAGTGTTGCTAATATAGAGAAATAACCAGGATTTTCGTGTCATTTATGGAAAATTTATATGCATATATATAGTTTATGATTTCTGACATTTAAATAATTAAGTACACTCACTTTAGAAGATTCTTCCAATTCTTGCCCAGCTGATGTAACAACACTCATCAATTCATCTAAATTTAAATGTGCATCAACCATGCCAAAACGAACACAAAGCATGCCATCATCAGCTTCGCCTAAAAATAATCACTGGTTATTTAACTAAATTTGAAAATTATGCAAACTGGATCCTGACAATGAATTTAAAAGATTAAGAACAAAAAACATTTTTACTATTGACATGGTCTTTTCTTTATCTGTTTATGATAATAGACTATGCCTATTGACTGGATACAGACATGAGATGGAAAAGAAAACAAAAAACCTGAAAATTCCATCAGTTCAAATCGTGCAGAAAAAAATGTGTGAAACAATAATTCACAAAAAGAAAGCATTCAAAATATTTACATACTAATTTTTTAAAAAAATTTGTTACTATGTGTGTACATCAGCAGTCCAAGAGATTGTTAAGCTTACAACACATTTTGGGGAACAAATTTTCCGTTGCAGAAGATTTTTTTAATGGATTTTAGATATTTTCACGTCGAAGATTTCATATCTGCTATTGGTTTTTCTGCCTAAACTACAAATTTTTTTACAAAATTTTTATGACAATAAATGACATTCTTAGTAAATTTTTTATCAAAATGTATGAGTTTAAAAACATTACATATCAGAGGGTCACATAAATGTTGCGACAAACTTCTAAGAGTCAGGGCACATCATCAGGATTAAAACTGCTTAGGAACCCATGCCTAGAAATGTTGTCATACGCGGCCAGGAGCGCTTCCCTATTGCCTGTTTAGCATACAAAGAAACAGTTCATAGCAGAGAAGTGCCCCTAGCAACATATGATAACATTTTTGGGCACAGGTTTCTATGCTATTTTTAATCTTGATAATGTGCCGTAACTCCCCTAAAAATTTGTATCAACATTTACGTAACCCCCTCTTATAAATAACGTCTTTAAACTTGTACATTTCAATGAAAAACAAATTAAAAATGTCATTAAAAAACTGTAGCTTTAAGAGCTATACTACTTGAAATCCCATCACCCAAATCAGGCAAGAGGAAGTCTTTGTATAAATGCAGTAAAAAATTTGTCCCCTAGTGTAAATCATGATTTAAAATAATAAAGTAAAGCAACAAAATTACACAGTAATATAAAGAATGTTTCCAAAGTTCAGAAAGTCCATCATACGTTGAAACAATTTCCTGTCTGTGTGTAACAGAATTATCTATTTTTCTGTTATGTGGTTTACAGAGTATAAAAGAATAAATAAATCTGGAAACGTATTTTCCAGAAGAAATTTTGTATTTAATAATATTATTCAGATATTAATTCAAACATAAATAAATGCTTCATTATTGTAACCTAATGTTTTAAAAGCTAAAAAAAAGGTCGAGCATAAAATTTTAAATAAGATAAATTTGTCAATATTTTGCTATTGTTTTCTTCAAAATCATATACAATAAATAATATTATAAATATTACTGAATTACATTACAGATTTAATTTCCTCAAACGTGTTTGATTGAAAGTTGAAAGGGGTATCAGGAAACTAACAATGCAATCACATAACTAACAACTAAACTGAATTGTTTTGTATTTTGAAATGCCCATACATATAATTACTATCCTGAGTAATAAAGACTGAAATAATTCCAATTCATAACTAATTGGTACTCCCCCTATAATATTTATTGTAATAAAAAATGTATAATAAAATGAATATGTGACAAAAAAATCATAAAACAAATATGAAATCAGACTCTTACTATAGGAACAGTTTTAAACATCACATTAATCAAACAAATACAGTAATGATAATTATTAAATAAGTAAAAAAGTACATTTCTGTAACAAGATAAACAGCTAAAATTTAATTTAAACAATCAAGCTTACACATAATTGTCATTTTTAAAAGAAAGTCATCTTTATTTGAAATCTATTAAACAATTGAGCAAAAAGAAAATTACATTAAAATTTTATAAATTGAATCATGAAATTATTATATAAAAAGCTAGTAAAACTAATAAAATAAAAATCTAGTTATTGATAACCACAATAACATACAATTAACATGAATATGATAAGACTATTTAATTCAACTTTAAAAATTATTTAGAAAAGGTGCAAAAAAATACTTTAAAACAAAGTGTGTGATATAATGTTAAATATATGTAATACATTACCATAATCAATTCTAGCTGAAAACAAATATTAAAAAATAAACTTTTAATCAACTGAAATAAAATAAAAAATAAACATTAATTATTATACCAAACTTACCAAGAGAAAATGCTGAATCAGTAGCTTTAAGTTTAGAAACAAGCTCTGTATTTAACTGATTAATATCTGCTTTTCCAGTATCAGTCAGTTCATTCAATCTTTCAGCCCAAAAATCAGGAATATATCTAAACACATATTACATCAAAATGAAATATATACTATATAATGTATATTTTAATTTATAAATAGAAAGTATTTTAATGGAGTTTAAAATAAGTTATGTAAAAAGCACTACACATTTTGTTTCTAAATAATTCATAGGGAGAAATTGAAACAAAAATTAACTTTGTACGATAATTCAAACAAAGTTAATAAATAATAATATTACATTTTAAAAGTGACGAAGTTCTAGAAACTACAGCTGTTGTCTGGTTCTAAAACTAAAGGATAAAACAAAATATACAAATAGAAAAGTGTTGTGAAACTTTTGCTTACATAAAAAGTAGACTGCTAGAGAATAGTTAAACTATTTCACTACATTATGCTACAGTTCAAACTTGTGTCATAATTAAAATGAATAACAAAATTTTGCTGGTTTCAATCTATTTTATCTGCTGAATTAAACTTGGAAAGCTTTCGCTTTTAGATATTTTCATAGTTTTTCAAACTAAAATGTTATCTCAAAATACTTAAAATGAAAAATTAGAAGTATTTCACAAAATATTTATTTTATTTTAACCCTAATCATTCATAAATTCATGTAAAAAAGTTAATATTAAAATATAGACTGTTTTTGATCATAAACGAATTTTTAGTTACCTGGATTCGTACAAAAAATTATAAATATTTTTCTACTTTCCATTTTTTTCAATGCAAGGTTATTTTTTGTTTTAAACAGTGCAAAACAATATTATTTTTTTTAAATATTATTATTTAAAAATTAAAAAATTCATGCATAGCCAATTTTTAATGATGCTTTGAATTAAAATCCAGAACTGCATCAAAATTAACAAATTTTATTAATTCTTAACTTTTTTATTTTTTAAATGTGGATAAACAGTTTAAGTTTTGTCTGTATATACTATCAATATCATTTTATTTCTTATTAATCATGAATTGAAAAAGCCTGTTTCAAAATCACAAATTTATTAGTTACTTGGAAATGTATAAAAAAATTATTATATAACTCATATAATAATCTTAATTGTAGTACGTAACTAATAACTGTATCTAATTAACTTTTGGATTAATATCTGGAATTTCATCAACAACTATAATTATTTAGAATTAACTTTATATTTCTTTCAAATGCTGGAGAAATATTTCTTTTTTTTTTTTTTTTTTTTTTTTTTTTTTTTTTTTTTTTGAACTACACATACTAAAGTTCACTTTAATCAAAAACATCAATTTAAAGTTCATTTATGATAAGAGATAAATACTTTTTTTTTTCATAATATTTTAAGTTTTCAAGCATGGTTTTTAGTCAAGTATATAATTTAGTGTTTTGTTTAGTTTTACTCTACCTTTTGAAATCAAGAATAAACAAACATATAGTTAATTATAACATACTTTAAATTATTTTTAAAAAATTTATTATTTAAACCACAAAGAGGTAACGCACCTTACACCTCCCATACCAGCCCATTCGGCAATATTTACAAGTTGAAGTTTGGGATATTTTTTGTATTCTTCATATAATTGTTCCTTTTGAGCAACAGTTGAATTTAAAATTTCCTATAAGAAATCAAAATAATATTAATTTTGTCAGTTTGAGCAGAAACATATGCATAAAAATTAGTACATTCGAGTCATAATTATCTGACATTCGTGAGACTAGGAGCACAAAATTTAAATTCTCAGACAATTTTGATACTTTATTATTATTTTCTACAGTGTACAGTGATTAAAATTATTAAAAATTGATAGATGCTATCTTTAAGTATATTAGAACAATAGCTTTGAATTATATAGCAAATGTTGGGCACAACAAAAAATGAAACATAATTAAAGCCTTAATATGACAACATTTGCTTTTTAGTTTGCAAAAGGGATTCATTTAAATTGTGTGGTTGAACAGTAGCTTTTCAAATACTACAAATTGATTCTAACAAAGATTGATTCTAATTGATTACTTTTGCTTACTTTTGCAATGCAAGAATCAAACATTCTAATCAATATTCACTTGATTAATAAATTAGAAATGGCAATTCCTTAACTTGAAAAACCATACATTGCAATTAGGGGATTTATGAATCACAATTGGCATTAACTTGATCATGTATTGCATTGCATTTTAAAAAACAGCACAGCCAATTTTTAATTAGTTACAGAGAATCGTAATATAGATGATTTCCTATAACTGATCGAAGATCAAGAAACTGTTTACGAAGACTTTACACCAACAGGAAAAGAAATTTACTAGGTCATGCCAGAGGTATGAAATCTGAGATTTACCCTGTGTCAAAAAAAAGGAATAAGCATGATTGTAAAAACAACAGAGGTATTACTAAATACAATATGTAAAATATGTTTATGTAGAAAAATTTGAAGGAAAATATCACTGCGGATTTAAACAAAATGAAGGAACTATGGATCCGATTATTGAAAAGTTTAATGAATATGATACTGATTTACATATGCTTTCTATAGACTTCAATCACGCATTTGATAACATCAAAAGAAAAAAATTGTATAAAGCAATGCAGAGGTTTGGAATACTATTAAATTAGCAACACTTAGGTGCTAAGCAAGGTAATTTGTTATCAGCTATGTTCTTCAATATTTCCCTGCACTTGGTAATCACATCAATCAGCCAAAAAGGAAATATAATTCCCAAAGTCAACACAAATATGTAGAGGATATAGTAATTATTGTGAGAACAAAAAATAAACTGAGATAACTAATAAAAGATCTTAATGGAAAAGCAAATTAAATAGGTCTAATAAAGCCGAAACAAAATTCATGGTTATGTCAAAGTCAGAAGACCTTTACTTTTGAATGTGATAGCAAATTTCCTTGAATAATTGAAGTGATGAAATAAACAATTGTGAAATTCATCATTGTTGGATCTATTTATTTATAATTTCACAACTTAATGAAATCATAAATAAATAGATATAAAATGAAAACAAAACTGCATTTGAAAAGAAAAAAAATTACTAAAAAGCAAATTACTTTAAAGAAAATGTAAAATGGAGATATAAAAACCCAAGTAAAGCCACAAGTAACATATAAATCTGAAACCTAGGTTTTATTCAACAAAGATTGAAATCACTAAGAAATTTTAAACTTAGAAGAATTTATGGAAATAAACCATGCAGAAAAAGATAAAACCATGAAATTTAAAAAATAAATAAAATAAAGAGAAAAACATCATAAGATTTATAAAAGCTAAAGGAATACAGTAGATAGGAAATATCGAGAGAATGAAGGAAACAGACAGGTCTAAGCTTAAAAAAATCATGATAGGGAAATTATATAATGGGAAAAGAAGAAGAACAAGGCTAAGATGGCTGGATCACATTGAGGAAAAACCTCAAAAAATTTTAAATAAAAAACTGGAAATAAAAACCTGGAGAGAAAGAGAATGATTTAGAACTCAATTGTAGAGAAAGTCAAAGTTGATATAATCAGCTACATTTTTCAAGAAAACAGGTAGAGATGCAGAAGACCGGTTGAGTTTAATAGTGCAAGAGAAAGCCTGAATTGCCTTTACTGCATCATATTTTATTTTATAACAGTCATTAAACAGCCGGCCCAAGTTTGGAATTTACGACGACTAATGTTCAACTCTGTAATTTTGAATCCAATCTAGGAGACAAGGGAACTGTTTGATTAAGTATTGGGAGAAATTCGTTTTTGTGGAGGACTTTTTTAATGGAACCAACCTCCATTTGCATTACATGGTGAAGAAAACTATGAAAAACACCCATGGCAAGGATACTCTAACCCATGATCCATCTACCACTGAGGATATTTTACATCTGCACTGTGGTTGGTGTGAGCCGAGTGTAAAATTTTTATCAACGAGCCATGGTTAGGATTTGAACCCGGCACACCTCATTGGAAGGGAAATGAATGCTCTACTGCATCATATGTAATTAACATTATGATCTACAGATAACCTGTTTAATTGGAGATATAAAGCGAATCTGACACTGAAATTACACTATTAATTACAACACAATTTTCACATAGGAACACCAAAACGAATTGCACTGTTGTTCCAAACAAAAGAGTATGTCAGTTAATGAAATCTTTATAATATAAGACAAATATGTACAAAATTGTTGTAAAAAATAATTTAAGCAATCTATTTTTTAAGATACTTATAGCTAGTATTTAAAATTTTCTTACAGATATATATTATTCTTTAAAACAATTAGAAATGGACAAACAGTAATGTTAAAAATTACAAATATGGTAATTGAAAACGAGTTGCCATATTGCATATTTGCAGATAATGCAAATGTGAAAATTATACAGAGTGTTTTGCTGAAAAGAAAGACACAGAACACACTGTTTTATTTAGGAAAAATAAATAAACACTTACAACTTGTTGCTGTAGGCAAATGTGATATTGTTCCACATCTTGCTGTGTGGAACAAAGTGCTAAAAAGAAAAAAAAGCAACAAAAATTAAAAACCACTTAGGAAAAATTAAATGTCAACAATTAAATGCATTATTTCAACAGTCTTACAAGACCAAAATTTAGAATTAAGAAACGAGAGTAATCTTTCGTGATATAATTGAATATGTTTAAAAAATAACTATAAATTTTACTAACTGCAATTTTTAAACGAAGTTTTTAATCAAATTCAAGACTTAGAATGCTTCCTCAATTAAATTAACAAAATATTAATTATTTACTAAATATACTAGGAATTCCATTTGACAGTTTAAGAATATGAAAGAAAAAGTTTTATTCATATTTTAATATTCAAACTAGGCAAATTAGCGCCAAAAATATAAGTTAAACTCATAAAATAAATAAAAGAATTATTACACAAGTATGTAAAAATTCAATTATGTTCTGATAAATTTTTTATTATAAGAATAAAACAATAATATATATTAATTTAAACTTTTATTTTAATCTTAGAACCCCGTAGAAAACTTTCCTTTCCTTTTTTACTTATTCTGTAATAGGTGTCTTCGAAGCCTACTTCACCCTTCAGGACATTAATTAATATCAGGATTATTAACAGGACATTATTATCTCCTTCATTTTAAAACAATAGTTTAATAAAAAAAATAAAACAATAGCTGCACATGCCAAATGTACACTCGTGAAACATTGATGCTATTTCAAAGGAAGACGACATATTTTATACTTAGAGGAAATAAAAGAGCATTAAACATTTAACGAATTTGCAAATATTTGATGATTTCCTAGTATTTCTCAAATTAAACGCTTGCTGTCGAGAAAGGCATATAATGATGAAGGTTAAAGGAACAAATCGAGAAAAAATGTTTTAGAATAACAAACTGCCTCATGTAAACATGAATAAATATTTCTTAATAATTATTTATGTTTACTACAAGCAAATTTTTTATTCAAAACCATTTTTAACATAGGGTTAAGATAGTTAAAAGTAGATAGATAGTTAAAAGTAGATTGTTAAGATAGTTAAAAGTAGAGTATATAGCTAATAATGTATATAAAATACAAAATAAAAAGCAAAAATTGAAACACATAAAAGCAAAAGAACGCATAGAAGAGAAACAAATAAAGTAAGCTAATTTAAGTTAGTTCCTGAGAGAGCCACATCTTTATACTTTTGAAATCCACTTAGCTAAACAAAGAAATTCATACTAAAAAGGACATAACCTGCAGCTAATTAATAGATAACTAATAGGAAGATAATAGATCAGCGTAGGTTTCTATATTTTGTTATTTTTCAGATGATATTTTAACAAAAATTTAATTAAAATTATAATAAAATTAATTACTTTCTTACATTATTGTAAGTGTAGAAAAGGTAAAAGCTATCTTTAAAATTCTAAATAGTGAGAGCAAAAAAATAGCATTTTTTTTATCAAATATAAATGGTATGCTAAGTCATGTAAGATTCAAAGAATAATATTAATCTAAAAGATATGTGATTGAAATTACTTACTATGCGCATTTTCCAATGGACAAATCCTAACACAAACTCCAAATCCCTCTAATTCTAAGATTTCTGTTCTTATAGATGGTACCTGTCTTGCCATTATTTGTATCAACTAGAAAGCACAATTTAGAATGTTCAGATCTAAACTTATTTATTAAATTTCCACAATCTTTACAAAAATTTAGATTATCATTGAATAAATTATTAACTTTATAAATTTATATTACCAAATTACTAACTTATATTAACATTTTTCCATAATAAATTGACATATTTTAAAAAATTACAGAGAGTAACTATTTTACTAAAATCTTATCTTCTTTAAAACTTTAAATGAAATTGGAATCAAAAACTTTAAAATTTAATAGTTAAATAACAGCTTAATTTTAGAAAGAAATATAGATAAAAGATGCAATTGATGGAAGAATTTGCTTCATTTTGTTACACTATACACTAGTTTAAAAAGCCCTTTTTTTTTCTTTCCAATTAAACAATTTTAACTTTAAGAAAAATTGGCATTTTCAATTTCTATTTAATCTTATAGTTAGTTTTTGGTATTAAAAAAAATCAGAGAAAAATACAATCAAAATCTTATGTATCTCCAATAACTTTAATATCTTATTTTGTTTTGTTAAAAAAATTAAAAAAAATTCATGTGAGTATAGTTAATCTTAGTCATTAAGCATAATTTTTTTTAAAATTCTGCATTATAAGATTAATCAATGAATTTGGAGCTAGTAATATAATCAAATAACATATTTAAAGAGTGATTAACCAAAAAATGTGTTATAATTCACAATCGATACTTCATAGAACACTAACCAAGATGATACACAAGGTCTAATAATAATTTGAAACCACTTTTAAAGTTATACTTACTATAGATAATAAATACAGCATCAAATTATATAATATAAAAGAAAACCTATTTTTCGTAAATTTCAAAACAATTGGTTTACAATGTATGGTGGTTCTTTTTTCATGAATTTACCCAAGAATCAAAATAAAGCATACAAAAAAATAAAATACAAATTAGCAAATATACACGATTTTGAAAACTCACTCATTCATCACTGAAAACTGACTTTTTTGAATGAACTCCATCAAGAAAAATAAAATTATTAAGACGAACTATTTCTTAATTTAAATTTTTTTTATTCATTTATTATTATTTATTGATTTCATAATTTAACATTACTCCAAATTAAAAACATTAAATTAAAAGTTATTTGAATTCATGTAAAAGACAAAAATGTTGAGTTCATATTTCAGGATCAGATATTGTTGCATAGTAAATAAATCACAGCAATTTCTTTTTAAATCCAAACCTATATCTAAGGTTTTAGGAAATCAAAAAATTCTGTGATGGACAATTTTAAAAAATCTAAATTATAGATGTGTCTGATTATAGATGTCCCTATCGTAATTTCAATTGATATACAAAATTTTAAAATTGGTTATATTTATTGAAAAACATTTTTCAATATTTTGATTAAAAAAAGAAGCACACTAACCCAAGAATTCAAATTATCAAAATATGGTGGATTCTGTTCTGGCACATCACTATCTACAAAAGATAAAAAAATAATTTTCAGCATGTATATTTATAACATTTTTTATTTATTTTACCACAAATATTATTTATCACAGAAAAACATTATGCTTTCAAAGACTTGTTTGAGACATTACTGTAAATCTTTATACATCTTAAAAAATAATACACATTATGGGTATTAAATTTATGAGAAAGAATATTAAAAACTATATTTGATGTAATTTGTGAACTTGTAAATAATATCCACGTTTATAATTATGTAAATCTTAAAATTTAATAATTTTATTTACAATATTAAAAACACCAAAATAGGATTTAATGTTATATTAATTACTTTTGTTTGACTGAATGTGAATAATTTAATAATAATTCATTACCTCTAAAAGACTGGGGCACATATTGAAACACTAGAACAGGTGTGAATACATCAAACAGCACCTAAAAATATTAGACAAAATTATAATTAATGGATACAAAATAATGCAATGATACAATAATGGATATTAAAAAAAATAATGCAATAAACTATCATTTTACAATTTTTAAATTCTAAACTAAATCTAATGCAAGAACAGAAAAGTATTAAAAAAAAGATTTTATTTCAAAACACCTAATTTTCAAAAGGAAAAGAGGATAGCTATATCTTAAATTCTAAAGCTGTGTAATTATTTTTGTTTAAANAATATATATCATATAAGTATTCAAATATAAATACCGTTGCCGGGATGTTTTTGTCTTCTGTAGAAATTTCATATTGATGTCCATCTTTATTAAGAACCCTTTTTTTACTCTAAAAAGAAACGTTTAATGCATTAAAATAAAGTTTTAAGTTCATTTTCTAAACAATACATAAACCTCTCTTAATAAATTTGTTGCTTTATTATTTTTTATAAAATAATTGAAAGTAAAACTTACAATTATTCTTAATTCAGGAAATTTTTCAATACTTTCTAACAAAAGGTCAGTCTAAGAAAGAAAAAGAAAAATTATATTATAATGAGAAAATGCAATATACATATGACTCACATTAACTAAATATAATTAGGGAATATTACATATAATGAAATTTCCTGAATTAATTTATTCATTATTATAATTATAATTATAATAATGAATAAATTAATTATGGAAATTTTTCAAAACTTTCTAACTAAAGGTCAGTCTAAGAACGAAAAATGAAAAAAAATATTATAATGAGAAAATGCAATGTATGTGACTCACATTAAATACAGCTATGAAAATAACCATGTTACAACAATATGGAATGTAACCTTTGTTTCATCTTTATTGTTTGCTTAACATATTATATTAAAAAAATATACTATAGCTACTATACCAAAAAAATATACTATACCAAACATAAATGTCATGTTATATCTGCACATGTGCAAATTCAGTCATGACTCACACTAAAATAAAGTCTTGTGAGTCATAACCATGTTTAATCACTTGTAAAAAAAAGATAATTTTGATAAAATTTAGAAGTTACATATGAACAAAACAAGCAGTGACAGAAGTTTAAGATAAATTTTATTTTATTATGATATTAATATTAATCCCTTAGTCTTAATTTAAATGCATATCTTTTTTTTTAGACTATTAGATAATCCATGCATGGAATTAGCCAACTGTGATAACAGTTTTCTGTTAAAATTATTTTAATGTACAGTTTTATCTTAAGCCTAAATTAGGTCAACATGGGTTCTACAAGAACATGCACTGAGGGAACAATATTGGGATGTTTAGAATTTCTAATTTTGAATGGCTTTCAATATTGGACCAAGATTCATTTCTATATCAGATCAATTTTACAAACTATAGATACTCCTATATTGTGAGTCTATAAAGGTCCTATATAGAAATCAATATTAATGAAATATTCAAAACCATTCCAGGACCAATGTTACAAAATATAGACATCAAACTATTGGTTCTACATAATAAACCTATAAAAGTCCTATTAATAGTTGTCCAATATTCAAAGACATTTTAGGATCAAAAGTAGAAAACATTGTAAATATTTAATATATATTTATTATACAAATGCATGTATAATAAATATTTTTTATAAAAACTAATTTCGGAAAGTTTAATGTTGAAGTTACGTTATTTCAGAAATGAATAAAACTAATTCAATGAAAGAAACAAAAATTAAAGTTGAATTTTCGTAAAAGATAAAATATTTTGTTTCATTTAAGTGCCGTAAACTTATTTCAAAAATATATATAACAGGAATTAACAATTTAAATTTATTTTAGAATGTTCATACATTAAGAATTGTCTAATAGGCAAACACAAATAAAAAAATATAATGGATAAAAATATAGTCTTACCAACTTAAAACAGTGGCAAATCATCTGTTTTAATGTTTCATAGCCTAAGGTTTGCACAGTAAACCAAACAGGAAGAAAATCCAATTGTCCATTAACAGCTTGTCCGAGGCCAGCAGCATGCATTGCAGCCATTTCTTTGGTTTTATATAAAGTCTAATATAAGTTAAGAATGCTAAATCAAACTTAATAAATATTACAAGTCTCAATTTGTAAAGAGTAAAATATTAGTTATAGTTTATGTAATCTTATAAAAGTTTTATTTAATTCTTTACCAGAGAATAAACTTCAGTTCAAGTGGAACTAAAATATTTGCAGGCAACTTGTTTTATTACATTCAAGAAAAAAGAATGAAAAAAACATGGAAAATCTATAGTATGTTCATAAATTCATTTTTCAAGCACTTTTTAATAATCAAAAGAAACAAATTCTCCAAAAAAAATTTCTTTTTTATTAAATTACTCTCTCGAACTTTTAAATAATATATTTATCTAGAATTATTTCGTTTTCAATTTGTTGTAACTTTTAATAATATATTTATCTTGCCTCAGTCCAATTCATGCTTCCTGGTTTGTAATTTGTCTTACTGATAAAAGTGTATCTGTGTGGCAAGTTTTTCATAAATTTTACTGTTTTGTGATTTTAAATGATGGTTTTGTTGAATTTCAATTCCAACACTGCTTAGGAACATATATTATCAATTATCAATTTGAATACTACTCAAATCAATATGATTGATATTGTAAATACATTTAAACAGCTGCAATTATTTTAAAATATATTTAGTTCATTAATGAAGGATACAATATAAGGTAAAGATGGAAGACCAATCCATTCACCAAGGCTCAGTGTCATGCTGTCTCCCAAATTGGAGGGCTAAAATATTAGAAAAGTACACATAAAAATAAAATAAATGAAAGAAAAATCTTAAATTGATAGCATAAGGTTAATTTGTGAGTTCTGGAAACAGCAACAGATTATCTGAATAGTAGATAAAATATAAGACATTGCTAATTAAACGAGATTTTTAATCATTATAAAATGATAAATGGATTTACAGAGAACATGTCTTTTAGACATTTCATTATAACAGAGATAAATTAAGAGAATGCATAGTATTAAAAAAAACCCAGAGAGACTCAATTTTACCATCTTTTTTAAATGACAGCCTTCCCTTTTTGACTAAATAATAATATATTGAATAATAATGCCTTTTTTGGTTAAAATACAGACATTAAATATCTTTCACCTTGAAAATAGGTCACTTTGAAAAAACAAAGCCAAAAGACTGAATTTTTTATCTTCTATGTTTAGTACACAGTTCAGATAAACAATTTTTCAACTAATTCTACATATGCCCATTAAAAGATTAATAATAGCATTCCTTTAGTGCTTACAAATTCTTTCTTATATCTTGTGCGATTGGCATATTGATATTTTAGTTAAAAATTTAAAAAATAGCTTAAAAAACAACAAAAATAGCTTTTTTATTACTATTGAAATTTAATTACTTCTAAAATTCAATTAATTGCAACCTATTAATGCAGTTTTTTTTATTACACTAGTTTCAACTTAAAAACATAACAACGTATTCATATATTTCATTTAATTTCTCTTTTGTTTTATTGGTAGTAAAAATGTTTTTCTATTTCACAGATGAATCATGTATTCATAGAAATTATGAACTTTTTTTTTTCTTTATGCAGTTAAAGCATATTACTTATCAAAATGAAAAATAGCAAAGACTTCATTCAAATTCACAGATAATGAATATGGTATATGCTACAAGCAAATGAAAATATATATCATATAAGTCTATAACTATTACTTAAAAAATTCAAAGTATTAGCAATAAAATAATATATTTTTAGCAAAAAATACAGTATTTCATCCAAAAGGAGATTACAGTACCTCTAAGCTAGTATCCAATTGTAAATCGAAGTTTATTTAGAACAGCAAGCTTGGTAAATATAATTTTTAAAAAAAATGCAACACTTTATAATAGCGGAACAAACAATTTACTTCAAGAAATATTTTAAAATATATTCTCAAAATTTCTTTAATACATACTGACAAATAATTATGATGTCAATTTAGATTAATTTAAAAAATTATTATTATCTACACTAAAGATTAGATCAATAGTTTGTGTCTAAACTGTGGAGTGAAATTTGATACAGATTTATAAATTGTACAAACCAAATTTGAGACTGCAACTAAACTGAGAGCAGCTAAACCATGTCCTTCAATGTGTAGCCACACATTATGAGCAATGCAAATTTCTTGTATTTTCTGCAAGTTATCAACATGGCCAACCATGCTAGAACCAGCATTGGCAATTACAAAAAGTGGCGTTTTAGCTGCTGATAAATCATCTTTTATGCATTTTTCCAATGCTGCAGTATCCTGCAAAGGTATTATTTATAAATCACAAGAAAACAGAAAGTTCATTGATCATTAACTACTATACATTCTGTTTTTGGTTTCAAATGGTATCTAATCAATCAATAATGAAAATCCTAAAAAAAAAAACTTTTTTTTCAATAAATCTTTAGAAACATAAGAAATTTGTAGAGAATTTAACATTTTAATCTGTCACCAATTCTTTGCTTGTGAAAATATTTTACTTTTAAGGTTATTAAAAAGCCTTAAATTGAAAGCAAATTTAAATTTATGCTAAATAAAAAGTATATGAACAAAAAGTTTTTAATTTTTTAAAACTTTTTTTTGTGAACAAAAGAAAGTAGAAGCAAAACCAAGATGAACTTCAGGACCACTGTTCAGAGAAATCTTAACCTTTCACTCTCAGATATTTTTGATGATGGGACATCAAAAGTCATAACTCCAAAATTTAAAATTTTCATATCTTAGTATTTAGTAACCACATTATTTCATGATTGCTAGTTATTATATAAAAATATCAGTCATCGTATTTTAAATGATTTCATGCTTATATTAGTTTAAGTAGCATTTTAATGCAAAGGCTTAATTAAGTCATCTGTCATTACTATACTATCATGTTGTTACCAAAAAAAATTTTTTTTATTACTTAAAAAATAATTTTTCAAATAATTTGTAGATAGTTTTGAAATTCAATTACATATAAATTTTTGCATCACATTACTTTACGTAAAAATTCAAATTAATAATATGACGATGGGTCAAACATTAGTAGTTTGGCTAGTTTTGTGACAGCAACTAGACAACAACACTTTGAATAAATTCCTTGTTCCTGTGAGACTTATTTAACTACAGTAAGTTAATAATGAAGTAGAAAATAATTATATAAAGTAATACCATTTTAAATTGATTTTCAACAGTTCCAGAGATACAAGGAATAGCAGTTATGCAAGATAGGGGCAATCCAAGCTGGAATAAAAAAGTTGAAGCATTACTGAAATTTTTTTTAAAATGTAATTTATTTAAAAACAAATTGAAACATTTGTAAATTGTTTTAAAATATAAAGGTTTCTAAAAAATTTGCAAAAATTGGCAAAATAAATGGTGAATAAGCATTTATAAGTTTTGATGTAATATTTGTACTTTCAGGCACTGCACACAAAAAACTGTAGTTTTTTTTCAAAAAAAATATAATAAAGTAAAATATGGTGAAATAGTACTATAGTTCATACTAACCTGAGAACATAAATGGGATAAATATTTCCCAACCCCTTGGGCATAAGGATCACAGTAATAAATAACAGGAGGCCTAGGAAACAAAGCTTCATATCCAGTTGTAGAATATCTTAGATATCTTAAATGTAGAACCATACGAATAACTCTAATAAGACCTTCCCTACTGTCTTTACTAAAGTAAGTGAGACAGTCATAAAATCTAAAACAAACAATAAATAGTATAAAATTTTAATAATTAACTAACTAACTCAGTGGCGCGACAGCCCATTAAGAGGGCCAAGGCCGACTGTGCCCATCTCAGTTTTCTTGACCTTGGGCTCTGGGGTGCAGGAGCAATGATTTTTATTTTATTGCATTATAT